ATTCTTTCTATAAAAGTGAAATGGTTTTTGGACCTTTTCATTAAAATAACAAGTATGAAAATCGATGACAATAAACGAAAATGTCGCGTTACACAATATACACAAAAAATACCGTATAATCTATTTTTTATTTATTTATTCCATTTTGAATACTTCGTCCTTTTTGGAATTAGTTAAAAATTCCTTAGTATGGAATCGAGCAGTCTTGTTTTTATCTTCGCTTAATAGAGTTTGATTACCAGATTAAAACTTTTATAGTAATAAATATTATAACTTTCAAAATACAAAGACTTTTACAAATAATATTTGATGTACATTTTGCCGCTTTAACATTTAAAAACAACAATATGTTTTAGACTTATTTCTAATATTGCCTTATAAACTTACAGAGGTGTCAGTTTCATTAAACTTTTACCAAACGTTCATAGGCTCTGTCGATTGACCCTGATTCCTTCGGCATACGTTCCACATGTACCCATACAGGAACATCATACACCGTAACGATTTTAACGCAAACCACACATTATTCGCCGTCACGACTTACGTGTCCAATGTAACACAAGGTATAACTGAACTCATGAATTTCAATTCACAACAAGATTATTACTGTAAGTTAGCTCATATGACTTACTTTTAATTAAAGTTATGTGTAATATAAATAATAATTTAAGAAAATTTGCATTTCGCTGTAATTGAGTTAATATACTTATTTTAATTTAAGGCTTAAGATTACAAATTTTTTTTTGATGAAAATATATGTGACTAGCGGCTCACCCTCGCTTCGCTCTAGCTCGCCTCTAGGAAAACAAAAACAAACGTATCCCACGGGAACCGTACATTTTTCCGGAATAAAAAGTAGCCTATGTGTTATTCCAGACTATAATCTATCTCTGTGCCAAATTCTCTAACATTTCTATTCTCAAACAGCCGTTCTGGCGTGGAAGAGTAACAAACATCCATACTTACAAACTTTCACATTTATAATATTAATACTGAAAAATACAGATTACATCATTATTATACTACAGAAATTTAAGATATACAATTTCTATATATATGCGTCTCAAAATTTTCCTCTAAAAGAAGTGAACACTTCAAAATTATGCGCTTTTTTTTAAAACTCTTTTGTTCATTAATTTTCGAATGACCAAATTATAACGCACGTTGTTTCATTTAAAAAATACTGTGCGTAAGGTCGAATTTGTATTTAGAAGTCGACGTCACTTTTTGAGGAGATATTGTTAGGAAATGTGTATCTATCTAATTATGTTTTATATATCAATTTAATGTTGTACTGCAAGCTAAAAAATCTTTTCCTGGAAGCACAACGAGAAAAAAAATATAAAGATATAAATTATAAGATAGTAACTGAATCTGTCGTAAAATACAGCAAATATATGCGTCGTCACGAGCCTCATGTCTAGGATAATACAAGAATTGCTTTACCGCCTACATCTGCATCTATACGCACAGATAAATAACGGTATAAATGTTCAATACAAATAAAACACCACGTGTTCTTTTTACATTTATTACTTTGTGTGCCTTTGAATTTCATGAAGATAAACCTACTGTGTGAAAATAATGTATTCAAAATAAAGGTATAAGGGTTTTATAAGTAATATACTTTTTTCGCATATTTTAATGTAAGTATACATATATATTCGCCATAGTAGCAATAATATTATAATGTATTATCATTGCCCGCGGCTCCGCTTGCGTTCAGATGGCCAAAAAGCAAATTCTTAGGTTTTACATATTAGTACTCTTACATTGCAGTTTTTGTATTTTTTCTCAGAAATGAGGTATTTTCCCGCGGTAAAAAGTATCCTATATGTTGACCCGGATAACCAGCTATCACTACACCAAATTTCATCAAAATCTCTTCAATGGTTTTTCTGTGGTGCGGTAATAGACAGACAGACAGACAAACAAGAATTCAAAAAACTATAGATTCGGCGTCTGTATCGATAGTAATGTTTATTTGAATAAGATTTTCCAAAAAATATTTAATGTACAGATTCCGCTTAGTTACAATTTTATTATATGTATAGAATATGCCATTTACCTAACTATGAAAAAATAATATACTTCCTAAATGACAGAGTCAAATGGTGTAAAATAGTATCGTATTCTAAGTTTTACTTTGACTGTGGAGCTTAGTGAAAAGGTTATTATTTGAATTAAAAATAAAAACAATATACCTACTCATTATATAAAAAATATACATACATACATACATACATACAGAGGAACGATGAACCGGATCTCCTCTTTTTTATCGGTGAAAATACGAACATATCTTTCTATTGTACCTATAAATAAGACATGGTTTTTTGCGTTACATTAAAGCATCAAGAGTATCGTTATAAAACTTTTCTATTTAGTAAGGAGTTACTTCTATGAGTCTGAGCAGATTCTTTTAAGTCCCCAATTCGAAATTAATGACCAGAAGTTTGTGCCATTTCAAGAACATTTAAAGTTTAAACAAAGCAAAGGGTCCTTTGTGGGTTTAACGTTCCAGGGTTATTACAAGTTCCTACATTTTGAACTAATATTGTGACATTGTTGCTTCACTTTCAACGTTATAGAATCATTTTGTCCTAAATAAACTTATTTATGTGGTTAATTACATCTTATTGTAATATAATGACAATAATAAGTAAATACTTTTTTTAAATTTACGCGAATATTTGACATCTATCTATACATATTATAATAAAATTGTAACTAAGCCGAATCTGTACATTAAATATTTTTTGGAAAATCTTATTGAAATAAACATTATTATGATACAGACGCATCACGGAAAAACCACTGAAGGGATTTTGACGAAATTTGGTATGGTGATAACTGGTTATCCGGGTCAATATATAGAATAATTTTTACCGCGGGAAAATATCGCATTTCTGATAAAAAATAAAAAAACTGCATTGTAAGAGTATACTAACATGTAAAACCTAAGAATTTGGTTTTTGGTCATCTAAACGCGGGCGGAGCCGCGTACAATGCTAGTTTTAAATAAAACTATCTTTTCGGATTATTTCGCGGATTTATTTTGGTTTTTGGTTCCCGACGTTTTGTTTCGACCAATTAATTTTCGGAAATTGCAACCTACATAATATTATTAATATTGTGATAAGATGGAATAAAGTCATTAAAAAAATATTCGTTGGTTTTCTAATAGGCCTTTTTATTTATTCAAATAAAAACTTGAAAGAAATTCTTCAAACTTCTTTCTACAAATAAATATTGAAGTATTACATAAATCTCGTTAACCGAGTTACGCAAGAATAGCACTTAAATTTTACTGCTGCTCAATTACGATTCTTTACGATTATTTCTAATCACAATTGGTGTTTTAAAACAATTTTATTGTACGACTCTTTTAGATCGATAGCACGAATTGTTTGAGTAGAATTTGTTTTAGTTTATTTTTATATACGTACAGAATAAAGAAATAAAATATTGATTGATAAAATAGTATTATTTCATCAATAGTATCATTTATTTTTTGCCAGACCGTGACTCTTGGGATAGATAAAGAATAGACCAATACTAACATTAAAAATGCGAAAGTTATCGAGGATGTGCAGATGTATGGATATTTATTATTCTTACACGCAAAATTTTAATGAAACTTTATAATAATATAGCTCACACCTCAGAAGTAACACATGGTTACTTCTTATCCTCGAAAAATATACTGTTTCCGTAGGATATATTTGTTTTTTTGTTTTAAAAAGTATATGTAATAGATTTAGATATTACATTACAATAATAGATAAATTGTCAGTGTTTATGAAGACCAAATAAGTTTACAATTAAATAATTAAAATAAAATTATTAATTGTGCACACTCATTTATGCTTGAAGCTTTCTTAAGTAAATAGGAAGGTGAATATTAAAATCATACTATTTTTTCAGAAACAGTAAACAGAAAAGTATCATTCATAACACTATTTATTTGGCCTCTGTATCCTAAGTCTATTCAATTTAGGTGTTAAATGTATTTAAAAAAAATGCATTACAAACAAAACATGCAACATGAATATATGTAAGTATATGTACTTTATAAACAAATTTAAAACAGTTTACATTTATTAATTATTAGCATACTTATACGAACTACTGTTCACCCAGTAATCGAAATTCGACCATAATTTTGTAACCGACTTAAAAAAGGAGGTTTTCAACTCGGATGTTTATTTTTTTTATATGTATGTTCGGGCATAACTCCCTCATATGTAGGCGGATTTGCAAAATTATTTTTTTCGAAAGAGGTTTATCTCGAAATGGTTCTATTTTAATTTGAAAAAAATTTACTCTTAAGTGTACAAAATAGGGTATGATTAATTTACTACTGATACTGACACTAAATACTGAATTTTTAAAATACTTTCTTCTTATTTTGCTATTCTACTATATCTATATTAAAAATGGAAAAATAAAAACTTGTTTAAAAACACATTAAAAAGTAAAAAATAACTGATTTGTAGTTTTCATTTCTCTTCACTATCGATATCAGATACGAGTATTTTCGAAGTCGGTGCCAGCCCATACAAATCAAAGCACATATAATAATTTTAGTGTCTTTTTTTGAAGTCGGTTTTTATTGTTAATAACATTAGAACTCGTCAATAGCTACTGAACAAAAAACAGAAAATCCTTTGACAAACAAAGGAGGAAAAGGTTTTAAAGGAAATTTTTATTTTTTACTTGTGTCAAAAAAAACGTACCGACCGTTTTGTTTGTGTCTATTTATATATAAAAACATTTGCTCTAAATGTAACACCTGATCTATTATTAAATTTTTGTGTTGATATGTGATGATGTTCTCCCGACCGATTTCGGCCACGGCGGCCAATCTCATTGAGACTAGCCAACTGCGCAGGAGATATTATAGTGCACAAGTGTACGCGCAGACACAGGTGCACTCTCTATTCCTTTCACTCTCATATTCTGGTGGGACGACCACTCGACACGACCAGTGAGAGTTAAGGCGCAGGACCGACGGCTTTACGTGCTCTCCGAGGCACGGGGGTGAAACACCGCCAACTTCCCAACTCCGGGCTGTTACTGAGGCTTACTGTGCAGAAAGACTCAATAACTAAACTTGGCCCGACCCGGGACTCGAACCCAGGACCTCCGGGTGTGCGGCCGTACTTGCTAACCACTACACCACCGAGGCAGTCAAAGTGTTGATATGTAAGTGGTGTGTGTATACACCGTAATTCACTCATGGTTTTTTCTACAATTACCGTTTCTTAATACGCTTTCGAATGTGGCGAGTAATGGCGTTTTCTCGGTTTCTCGTGTGTTAGTCATGCAAAACTCATTATTGCCAATGTTAATGTTAGCAGAAAAGTAGCGTGAGAATGTACTTAATGACCACTTTAAATCGCTTTGAAATTTGATTTATATAATTATTTTTTGATTTATAAATCGATTTATTTCATTTACATTACACAAGAATGGATATAAATATGTACAATCTATATATGTACATATCTTATATATTTAAACGAGCTATTCTTGTATATATATATATATATATATATATAATATATCAATATATAATCTGAATCTCAGAAACGGCTCCAACGATTTTCATGAAATTTAGCATACAGGGGCTTTCGGGGGCGATAAATCGATCTAGATTAGTCTTATATCTGGAAAAACGCAAATTTTCGAATTTTCATGCGATTTTCTTTTGCATTTTCACAATTTTTGCATTGTCACTTCTGGTGAGTGGGCGGCGCCACTGTGCAACTGTCAACATCGTGTCCGTATTTACATCAAGTTTAAAAATATTTAAGTGGAAATAATCTAAAGAAAAATGGAATACATTTTTACAAATAAATCGATAAAACCTATGGGCAACATGTAAACATCACCAAGTCTTGATGTGTTGAAGAACAAATGAGCTTTTAAAAATTCACCTACCAAACAAAAACAAAAGTGACAAACATAACTTAAAGATAGGTACTATCAGTGCAAAACCATCTTTTTTGTGTGTGATGACAATAAAACAAAATAATTTGTGAAGTGAAAGCGTCAAATATTAAAACATAAGTTTATAACCTCAAAAACTAATACTCGGTATAAAATTGCAATTCAACTAGGTGTAATTGGTGCTCTTTTTCAATCAGCTTTTCTACTTCCAACTTCACACGTAAGATGGAGGACATAAAAAACTTGCTAATAAACATGCCACAAGAAATAAGACAGCAGAAAACAGAAATGTTAGAAATGAAAGAAGCCATTAAAAATACAATCAACAATAATGATTTAAACACTTAGAAATAAAAAAATTGAAGTTCTTGAGAAAAAAATCCAGGAACAAAGTACCTCAATAAATAATTTAGAAAGACATATTAGGCGCAAGAACTTGGTTATGTTCAGAGTAGAAGAAGGTGAAAAATCCTATCATGAACTAGAGGAAAAAATAGTCTTAAACAAACGCAAGGAGTTACAAGCCCAACTGAAGATAAAGAAAAAGACCTAGGCAAAACAGCTTTCTTTAAATATGACAAACTAATTATTGTGGATAATAATAAGAACACTTCTTGCCAATACTCAAATAAAAGAAGTCTGCCTGTATCTCCAGAAACGCCTTACCTCAATTATGAACAAAAACTAACAAATAAACAACATACAAAGAAAACCATACCTGGTAATATTAAAGACTTTATATTACAAAAACCAAAAATTAACTTTCAACCACACAAATGATAACCAGGAACAACTAAAATCAACACTGCAAGATACAGTTTATTAAACACAGTAGGAACCTCCTCATCTTTATCCCCCAGTGCGGCCGGTCACTGTGGGGGAGTTCGACCATAACCCTCCAAAGAAAAACACATACAATGAACAAAGGTATACATATCTTCACCAGAAAAACTTCTAGAATTAAAAGCAGTATTTCCTACAACAAATCAAAAGAACACAAAGATAAAATTATAAACTTTATAGGCATATCAGAAACAAATTATATATTGGAAACAAAATTTGAAAAGAAACCCTTTGCAATCATACAAGCATAATCTCCAACGGAGAGCTCTATGCAGGACTACTTTGGGTCTATACATGAAAAAGACATTTACTAAATAAATACATTTAAATATGAAATTAAATACCTAATTTATAACTATTGTCAGAATTAATGTATGGAAAGAAATTTTATTTATATTTATTATTGTGAAATGTTTAGTATTTACTCAATTGAATTATTTAATTTATTGTCATTGTTTATTTATTTGTTTGTTAATGATAATTTATATATATACAATATAATTTCAAATAATATTAAAGATTTTTAAAATAATTTAATTCCAGATTACAAAATTATTAGTTAAAAAATTATAAGTTAATAAATAGTCACTAAATTATATAATTTTATATTTCAGCAATGTGATATAGACATTTTTTCTGATAGTTTAAATTTATTTAAAAAGAAAGTGTATTTAAATATTTAGATTAGATTTTTTTTTCTTCTTTTGTTTATTGTACAACTAAAATGGCTCCTTATATGCTCTTAACCAAATAAAATTTTAATGGAATACTTTTATAAAAAGCTGTGCATACTTTTAAATTAAATTTATATACAAATAGGTAAAATTATAATGTTAAATAAATGTTTTTATGTAAATTTAGTTAGTAAGCCTTTATAATAAATAAATGAATAAATAAATAGAGCTTTATTATTATTATGATTCCTTTTGCATTATTTCAATAAATTAATAATTAATAATTCCATGCAAAATATTATGTTCGATAATTTCGCATGCTCAGATCAAGCATTCGCATTTTCGCATTTCGCATGATTCGCATGCTCAGGTCAAGCGGCCAATGCGCAAATTTGACAACCACAGGTGTCTGGGTTCGTATCCCGGTCGGACCCAAATTTTTTAATTTTGTTTTTTTTTTGTAGTTATTCAAATTCTTAGTTTGTTTTTTTTTAATGTTTTTTTTAGCCAAACACTCCGAGCAAGGCTCGGTCGCCCAGGTACTAATATTTAAGTTAGATGTTTATTGTTTTTATAGGGCAAATTTAAAGTGTTCAAAATGAATGATTATTTTATTAAAATTATGAACGAATTTTATTTACGTTAGCATGCCACTAAAAAAGTACACAAAATTATCAAAAGAACAAGGCAAGAGCGATTTAGTGTGATAGTGATATCTGCACGTTTCCTACATAGTAGGATGTTGTCATAAACATGACGCGTATATGGACAGGTATCTCATAGCTATTGTGCTTAGTCAGCTAATGCTAACAAAAGAGGGGTGTACGCTCGAGCGACGTGCGAGAAATTTAAGGGATATTTTTTGTCTTCCGGTGCACAATGTAGATGTATGTACCTACTCGCACCTTTAGCTTATTTATAGTTTATACTATCTTGGAGGCAGTGGTAGCCCAGTGGAAACGCGTTTGCTTGGGAAACCAAGTGAAGCGGGTTCAAATCCCAGTTCTTGCACCTCTAATAAGATATGTGAAGTCCGCCAACCTGCACTTGGCCAGCGTGGTGGACTATGACCTCATCCCCGTCGTATATACGGGAATGGGAGGCCCGTTTCCAGCAGTGAAAGGAAAGGAGAGCAATTAGACTACATTACATATTATAAATATAAACACCCATGACTGGAGTACAAACATTCGTGCTCATCACACAAACGAATGCCCCCAGCGGGACTCGAACCCGTGACCGCTGGCACAGCAAGTAAGGTTACTACCAACTGAGCCAAACGTGTCGTCAAAGATGATGATGATGTTAGATGATGTTACAATTGCAAATGCAGCTTCATTTGGCTACATTTTCGATAATTATTATTGATTAAATACTTTATAATTTTTACATTTATTAATCCACTAGCGACTCAGCCTCGCTTCGCTTGGGTTCGTCCCTAGCTTGATTCATAAAAATTTTCATCCCCATTTTCACCCCCTTAAGGGATGATTTCCGGGATAAAAATATCCTATGTCCTTTCCAGGGTCTCAAACTATCTTCATACCGAATTTCATCTAAATCGGTTCAGTAGATCCAGAGATTACCTCCTACAACATCACAAACTCACAAACTTTACTTCTTTACAATATTAGTATAGATTTGAGATTTTTTTAAACAAATAGACTTCTAAACTGTCTCTATTAATATTTCCCACACTATTTCTATCTGTTTATAGTTTAACTGCAACTTTATAATAACACGTGCATCTATCAAAACATGGGGTACACATTACACATGTTTCTCTTTCGCAACGTTTCATTGTCCCATATTACTTAAGTTTACGATATAACCAACTGGGTTATGTAGAGATTACGGTCGTATAGAAAGTAAATTGTGTTAAGTGTACTGTGGAGAGAAATCTAATATTGTTTGTGGGTGGAAATAAAAAACATATTATTATGAAATCTATCCTCAAAAGCTTCCTTTGTTCTCTAACAATGTATGTATTTATAAAATATATGGCCTGGAAAATATAAGTGTCGTATTGTGATACGATATGATTTTTTAATCAAATGATAGAAAAGCTTCAAATACCATTAGTTTTTCTAATAACTTAGAAAACGATAAAATATAAAATAATATGTCGTTGTTATATTGATATAAAATATTTTTGTTACAGGTAAGTGATCAACTACGGCTATGGTTTACAAAATTTACACCAGGTTAGTGTGTCATAAAACAAAGTTTCCACTGTGTAATTATGTCAAATTGTTATGTAAAGTCTTATGCAAATGTGTTGTAAAGTTAACAATCATAAACGAATAATATATAGAAGAATTCAAGGTAAGTTTTTGGGGGCATAAAAATTTTAAACGTATACTTATGTTGTATATGAACCTGTCTATTATGTAAAACAAAAACAAATCTATCCCACGGGAACCGTACATTTTTTCGGGATAAAAAGTAGCCTATATGCTATTCCAGACTATAATCTATCTCTGTGCCAACTATTATCGAGATTCAGCCGTTCTGGCGATATGGACTAACAAACATCCATGCAAACATCTAAACTTTCACATTTATAATATTAGTAAGAAGTAAGATTTTATCTCTAGCGAAGAGAAGATATAGCTATAGATGATACCTTTGACGGATAGAGGTTCGCTGTTCAAAGACACAATTTTCTTGCAGAATGCTATTTAGTGGACACTCACTCTGACATAATATATTTTCTGATCTGAATCCGACTTCATCGTAATGAATATATATATATATATATATATTATTAT